TCACATAGTTTTACGTCGTATAGGGAAAAGTTAACCAGAGTTATATACTCTGGGCGGGACTTGAACCCGCAACCTTTGGATTAGAAGTCCAACGCTCTATCCGATTGAGCCACCAGAGCTGAGAAAGGCTTGTTGACCTCCTGTTCATGTGAACACTGCCTTCCGTTCACATAGTTTTACCTCGTATAGGGAAAAGTTAACCAGATTACATACTCTGGGCGGGACTTGAACCCGCAACCTTTGGATTAGAAGTCCAACGCTCTATCCGATTGAGCCACCAGAGCTGAGAAAGGCTTGTTGACCTCCTGTTCATGTGAACACTGCCTTCCGTTCACATAGTTTTACCTCGTATAGGGAAAAGTTAACCAGATTACATACTCTGGGCGGGACTTGAACCCGCAACCTTTGGATTAGAAGTCCAACGCTCTATCCGATTGAGCCACCAGAACTGAGAAAGGCTTGTTGACCTCCTGTTCATGTGAACACTGCCTTCCGTTCACATAGTTTTATCTCGTATAGGGAAAAGTTAACCAGATTATATACTCTGGGCGGGACTTGAACCCGCAACCTTTGGATTAGAAGTCCAACGCTCTATCCGATTGAGCCACCAGAGCTGAGAAAGGCTTGTTGACCTCCTGTTCATGTGAACACTGCCTTCCGTTCACATAGTTTTACCTCGTATAGGGAAAAGTTAACCAGAGTTATATACTCTGGGCGGGACTTGAACCCGCAACCTTTGGATTAGAAGTCCAACGCTCTATCCGATTGAGCCACCAGAGCTGAGAAAGACTTGTTGATCTCCTGTTCATGTGAACACTGCCTTCCGCTCACATAGTTTTACCTTGGATGGGGAAAAGTTAACCAGAGTTATATACTCTGGGCGGGACTTGAACCCGCAACCTTTGGATTAGAAGTCCAACGCTCTATTCGATTGAGCCACCAGAGCTGAGAAAGGCTTGTTGACCTCCTGTTCATGTGAACACTGCCTTCCGTTCACATAGTTTACCTCGTA